TAATTGATGATGATACTGACTCTGGGAGAGAGTCTGACATTAACGAGGACTTCTCAGACAATGAGATATTGGCTGAAGAGAACAAAACCTTGTGTCTTGCTATGATTAATGTACAGCAAGACAAATAAAGTCTTCTGCAGCAGATCAAAGATAGGGATGCAAAAATCACAACATTGGACAAGACGCTCAAGAGTCACAAGTTGGTGATTGATGAGAAGGATGACAAGATCTTTGCGCTACATTGTGAAGTCGAAGTGGCTGAAACTAAATTATCAGAGCAAGTCAAGTACTCTGATCTCCTAAAAATGTTGCTTGTGGAAAAACAGGAAAAGAATCGTGATCTAAATGAGCGGCTGACTGAACAACTGAGAAACATCAAGTTGCTGTCCAAGGGAACAAAAGACCTTGACAAACTTTTGTGTGTTGGTCAGTCGAGCAAGAGCAACTTTGGTCTTGGGTATGTAGGTAAATCATCTGGTCATGAGATGAAGTTCGTTCGTGGAACAGAGGCGCCTCAACACCAACATCAAACTCAGGCCATCAATCAGAAGACTGAGAAAGTAAGAAACAAAAGAGGAGTACTGAAGACCGAGAATGTTAGACAGAGTGACAGAAGAATGAAAGTCAGTGAAGTTTATCGATATGGAAGACTATCTGGGTGCTACTACTGTGGAAAGCCAGGACACATAAAGGTTCATTGCTACCGTCTTCAGGAAGACATTCAACATCTCATAAGGCAGAATCAGTTTTTCTGGAATGGAAAACGTAGAAATCAAGGCTGGATAAAGAAATCTATGGTCACGTCAACACATGCATTCACGGCTGTGGCCACTGGAAAAGGATCCGATGACTCCTCTTGGTACTTTGACAGCAGGTGTTCACGACACATGACAGGCTCTCAGGCTGGTCTGGTAAAGTTTGAGAATGTTTCAGCTGGAAGGGTTACCTTCGGTGGTGGTGCCAGAGGAAAATTTAGAGGTGTAGGAGAAACAAGCGGACCACACAAACCATAGCTTGAAGAAGTGTACTTCGTTGATGGATTGAAAGCAAACCTGATAAGCGTCAGCCAACTGGGTGATGAAGGTCTCTATGTGCATTTCACCAAGGACTCCTGTCAAGCCGTATCTGGGTGCGATCAGGTCGTCATGCATAGAGCTCGTACAAGCAACAACTGCTACAAGTGGATCTCGCCTCTAACCTGTTGTTTCAGCGACACTATCAGCAAATCTAACGAAATGCAGTTGTGGCATCAGAAGCTGGGACACATGAATGTCTGAACTATGGCTAGACTTGCTGACAAAGAGCTTATACGCGGGATGCCAATGATCAAGGTAGCTTCTGAATTTGTATGTTGTCCATGCACTCAAGGGAAACAGGTACGAGTGCAGCGCAAGTCTGTTCCTGATATACAAACTCATCAACCGCTTGATTTGCTGCACATGGATCTGATGGGACCCATGCAAACAGAGAGTATTGGAGGTAAACGATATGCATTTGTGTTAGTGGATGACTTCACCAGATACTCCTGCGTTCGATTCATTCGTGACAAATCTGATACATTTGAAAGCCTCCGGATTCTGGCGTTGCAACTGAAGACAGAAAGGAAGAATGGCATAAAGACTATCAGAAGCGATCATGGGGGAGAATTTCAAAATGAAGTGTTTGATCGGTTCTGTAGTGAACAGGGAATAACTCGTCAGTATTCTGCTTCACGGACATCCCAACAAAATGGTGTAGTTGAAAGGAAAAACAGAACATTGCAAGAAATGGCCAGAGCAATGGTTCACGGCAATCAGGTCGCGAGAAACTTTTGGGCAGAAGCACTGAACACTGCATGCTACATAATCAATCGGGTGTATGTTCGTAAGAGAATCAACAAAACACCATATGAGCTGTGGAAAGGGAAGACCCCCAATGTAAGCTACTTTCATGTGTTTGGATGTGCTTGCTACATTCTGAACGACAAGGATCATCTTGGAAAGTTTGACTCGCGAAACACTGATGGAATCTTTCTGGGATACTCAGGCACTAGCACAGCCTTCAGAGTATTCAACAAACAGTCTCGACAGGTGCAAGAAACCGTGAATCTGGTGTTTGATGATGTACCATCACAAGGCCTGATCTATTCACCTGAAGATGTGACTGAGACCCCCATCCAGAAACCAGAACAGGTCAGAGACACACATTCAGGAGATAATGCAAGTGTTCAAGATTCGAGTCAGGAGGATGATGACTCAGATAAGGAATCAACTCAAGAAGATCGAAATCTGACAGAATCGGACACTGAGGAAGTCACTGAACTGCCAACCAATACAACAACCGCCCCAAGTGCTAAGGTTCGGAAGATTCTCAAAGATCACCGCAAGGAGCATGTGATTGGTGATATTGATGGTGAAAGAGTTACACGTCATATCAAACTCAACTTCAAGAATATGGTCAGATTTGCGAGCTTCGTGTCTACTATTGAGCCAAAGAATCACAAAGAGGTGTTGATTGATGAGTACTAGATCAAAGAAATGCAGGACGAGCTTGAGCAATTCGAACAAAATCAGGTGTGGACACTAGTACCGATGCCATCAGGTGCAAATGTTGTTGGTACCAAGTGGATTTTCAAAAATAAGAATGAGGAACATGGATATGTGGTGCGTAATAATGCCAGAGTGGTTGCTCAAGGGTACTGTCAAGTGGAAGGAATTGACTTTGATGAGACTTTTGCACTCGTTGCACGCTTGGAATCTATTCGCCTACTCATTGGATGGCCTGCAAGTTAAGATTCAAGCTGCATTAGATGGATGTCAAGAGTGCTTTCTTGAATGGGTACCTTCAGGAAGAAGTGTTTGTTGAGCAGCCTAAAGGATTTGAAGACTCAAAGCATCCAGAGTATGTCTACAAACTACAAAAAGCTCTGTATGGACTGAAACAAGCCCCAAGGGCCTGGTATGAGCGCCTGACTTCGTTCCTAATGCAGAATGGCTATCAACGTGGAAGTGTTAATAAAACTCTGTTTACCATCACAAAGAAACACGAGTTCATGGTGGTACAAATATACGTTGATGATATTGTGTTTGGAGCTACAACCCAGAGGATGGTCGATGAGTTTCTCAGCACAATAACGAAAGAGTTTGAAATGAGCATGGTTGGTGAGCTGAACTACTTCCTGGGCTTTCAGATCAAGCAGGCAGATGATGGTGTCTTTATATCTCAGAGTACCTATGCCAGGAATCTTGTCAACCGTTTCGGTTTGGACTCAAGTAAAGTAGTTCAGACTCTTATGGGCACAAACTACAAATTATCCAAAGACACACAAGGGGAGGGTGTGGACACAAAGCTGTACCGAATCATGATCGGGAGTCTGCTTTACCTAACTGCTAGTCAACCTGATCTCTGTCTCAGTGTGGGAATCTGCGCAAGATACCAGGCAGTGCCTAAAGTGTCACACATGCAAGCAGTCAAGCGGATCACCAAGTATGTTAAAGGGACGATCAACATGGGGCTGCTGTACACCATTAACATATATCAGAACTTAGCTGGGTATTGTGGTGCAGACTGGGCAGGGTGTCTTGATGATCGGAGGAGTACGAGTGGTGGATGTTTCTTCCTTGGGAACAATCTGATATCGTGGCATAGCAAGAAACAGAACAGCATGTCATTATCAACTGCTGAGGCTGAATATATTGCTCTCGGAAGTGGATGCGCACAACTTCTATGGATGAAACAAATGACAGCTGACTATGGTATGAAATCTAAATCTCTTTTGATTCTTTGTGATAATGAGAGTGCAATTAACATCGCAAAGAACCCTGTGCAACACTCACGAACTAAGCATATAGACATCAGGCATCGTTTCATACGTGAGTTTGTTGAGGAGAAACTAATTAAAATTGCACATGTCAGTACTGAATATCAACTTGCAGATTTGTTCACTAAGCCTTTGGATTTCAATAGATTCGTTAATCTACGAAAGTCCATTGGTGTTTGTGAGAACTAATGATGTGTATAAGTGACTGTGATCTTGGACAGGAATGCATGTAGGGACGGGCTCAGAAGTGACAGTAAAACATGTTTTCAAAAATGATTCTCTGTATATATAGTGTCTAGTGGAAGAAGGCTACCTGGGATGCCATCTCTAGTTGATGAGTACAAGTTGCACTGATTTATGGGCTGACATACAAACTGGAGAGTGTGTGAGTCCTCAGCTGATCCAGTGAACAAGTTAAAAAAAAAAAAATAATAATAATAATAATAAAAATATTTTTGCTGGTAATTCACTGGATGGATTGCTAACAAGGGACAAGAGCACACCGAACCTTCATCATCCTATGTGTGAACCTGAGATATCAATCAGTGAGGGTAAAACACATAAGAAGGTCAACTCTCTGAAAAAGGTTTTGAGGTGTCAGTTCATCATGTGCCAGGGTTGAAAAGCTCAGAGACAATGAGATAAAGGCATTCCGGTGTGAAAGATCAGCCACTGGATCCAGAGGGTGGTATTTTGTCCACTTGAGCTTGTCTCTGTACTGTGTTCGGGATCATCAGGAGGATGTCCAACCCAATTCACACCAACAAAGGTATACTCAATTGCACGTTCAGTTTGTCAATTCGATTAAGGGTCCCTCATAATTCACACTAATTCTAGCCTTGGTGGATATGTTCCGAATCATGACAGTTAGCACTTTTGTTATCTGATGAGTCAGTTGAGTAGATCACAGTCTAAAATCACTGTTTTTGTTCATCTAACGGGTTGTGTTGAGTCTGTCAAGCTGTTCAGATTCCAAGCCCACTTAAATCTTGGCCCAATCAGATGTATCTCTTGGAGGGAAACTGCCTATTTAGGGTTTGTCTCGGGGAGCGCCAAACGTCACTTCGCACTCTTCCTCAACCGCTCAAACCTTTCACATTCCTTGAATCTTGCTTCTCTCCAAGATCTCAACAATGAAGGCTTTGTTCTCCGGCTTATCTTGTCTGGTTGGTACCCCTGCCCCGCAACAAATTGCTCCTGATCACTTGCCACTTCCCTTGCTAGGAGACGGTCCGATGGAGCATGCAAACCTCGATGCCCTAGCGATTGTGCCATATGTCGGTTCATCTTCGGCTGCCAACGAAACCGGACCTCCACCTGCCCCGACAGCTCGATTCGCTCACTCTGTGGCCGGATCTACGAACTCAGCCCCTTCGTCGCCAGTCAGAAGCCGGTCATCATCTGTGGAATTTGTGTCTGCATCGGCTAAACTGCCCTCCTCGTCTTCTGCTCGGGGAACTCGCCAAAGCAAGCGATATGTCAAAATTGAATCAGATCCATCGGAGCCACCAAAGAAGAAGAACTGTCCTTCCAAGTCGAAGTCTTCTTCGGTGCCGGAGTTTGATGTTGGTCGCTTTGCTTCCCAATGCGTGAGCGATCGATTTGATCTGTTCCTGAACCGCAACTTTCTGGCAGAGCGTGACGTGGATCTCAAGTCGGTTCCTTCTGGTGTTGAGGACGTCATTCGTGAGGTTGGTCTTACCTCCACCGTTTCTGGCATCAGTCGCTTCCCTCTGACGGTCATCAGGGAGTTATGGGCTCATCTTCACGATGATAAGGTCAACTCCGATGAGATCTTCATGGTTCTTTGTGGTCATGAGTATGTTTTCTCTCCTCGTCTGATCAATCAGCTCTTTGGACTTGAGGAAATGGCTACTGCTAGTGTTGCTCTGGATGCTGAGATCCTCTCTAATGATTAGCTCGCGCTCTTCATGAGTGGTGGTAAGCACGGTGTGTGGGAGACTCTGACTCTTGCTCAGTATCAGAAGGATAAGTGGGCGCTGTTTAAAATCAGCTGTCACAACTGGCTTCCCACTTTTAACACTGGGTTCTCCAACAAAGCTCGTGCTCGGATGGTTCATCGGGTTGCCACCAAGACTCCGTTTGTTTTTGGCTCTATGGTGTTTGATCACATTCTCAGTCTCTGTCGCAATCCTGGATCCAAGTTTTTTCTTCCGTATCCTAGTCTGATCTGCAAGCTCCTGCAGCAGCAATGCCCTGTGCCTCTCAAACTAGCTAATTGCATGGAAGTCATTCATCCATTTCGCATTGCTGCAACTCCGGTCTTGATCAAGGCGGAACCCAAGCAGGAAGGACGATCGGCTCCTGTGGGCATGTCTCTCTCCTCTACTGATCGGCGGGTTCTTATTCAGGCTGTCCTCATCATCAATCGCATTATGCAAGGTAAGTACCTCTTCTCTTGGATCTGTTCCTTAGTGTGCCTTGATTTTTGACTTATTTATGCACTTAAGCAGAGGGAGATGTAGCAGAGGAGGTTTCTCCAAGTGTGGAGGAGCAACCGTGATGGGGGAGTTTGGACTAATTTTAGTTTTTAAGTTTAAGTAAACTCAGGCCGCCGTGCTTTCTTTTAATTTTAAGACTTTTGTTTGTTTTTGATGAGCGCATTGGACTTTTAAGTCGCTCTTGGTTTTTAAGTGCGGGCCTGTATTCTTAAGTACAATTTGGTTCTCTCAATATTGTCTGAGCAGTTTGCCTTAAAGTCTATTTGGTCCTTGCTTTGCTTGTGGTTGCTTGTCTGACTTTGCAGGTTAACTGATATGGGTGCTGAAGTGACAAACCAAGTCAAAAAGGGGGAGATTGAAGATGTAAGTGACATCAGGAAGCAGCTCAGGAGGGACTGCAAGATGCTCGTAGCTGAGGTCGCTCTTGCTGACGTGGAACTCAGCGTATGGCGGTCAAAGGAGATAGTCTCGAATTATACTTTGAGTATATTTGAGAATCTAGGAAAAGAGAAAACTTGTGACAAACGGATTTGCAACTCGATTCTAAGGTTAGACTCTTGGGTAGGTCATATATAAAGGAAGTCGGGCGAAGTGTGGTTTGTACACTTTGCGCCGCAAGCATTAAGATCATCCTTGAGCTTCCAAAGCAAATAAGAAGCTAGAAGGTTAGTGTCCTCTTCGTTGATACACAAGCTGTGTGATCGTGTGAAGAGTGTTTTAGAACTAAAAATCTTTAGGGGCAATCTAGGTTAGAGTTGCATAAATCCAAACAATTGTAATCATGGTGATTAAATTGTTGATTCTAGTTTAATAAAACAAGCGTTGAACTTGGCGCTTTCCAAGTTACTCTCTGTTGTCTGTTTTCTACACTTACAGATCTCACCAATTAGCACTTTCCTCCTCAAATCAGGATTGTTGCTGTCTCCCATGTTGAACAGAACGGATCGGTACTTTAGTTTCTGAGTCCCCTCGAAACATCCCAAGTTTTCAAACATGGCAGATTCAAAGGAAACAGTCACGGCGCAAGGATCGCAAGAAGCGACTAGTTTCTTCATTTCCGTCTCGACGACCTCGGAAGCGACTCTAGACAAGGATTTTTGCAGAATCTCATGCACTTTGTTTCTCTTTGAATCTCCCGACGAAATCTCCATCTCCACAAACTTCTTCACCACCGGTGGTCGATTCCGATCGCATTCGCGGCGGCTCTCTTTTCTGCCGGTGGCGTAGAGATACAACAGCCAGAGAGAGTAAAGAAGATTTGCCTCCGATCGGATTTTAGGGTTTATGTGCTCCACGAAAACTTTGTGACTCAGTCCAATGAAGGAGGTTTTGATGATGAGGTCACAACCAAGAGACTCGGGAGCTTTAAACAAACGATCCATGGCGTCGACACACCTCGAGACCGCCGGAGAATTCTCGACTCCTTTCGCAGATTTAGCGGCTCGAGTTGCTTCCTTAAACAGTTCCAAGAACTCATGCTTCTGCATCTTTCTCGTTCGATCTTTTGTGTGTGTTTGCTCTCTCGATTTTCTCGCGACTCAAAATTAGGGTTTCAGAAGCAACGAAAAAAAATTGGGAATTGTTGGAGAGTGGGGTATGAGCGGCAGTGTTCATATATAAAGAGGTAGTGTGGAACTCAAACACCAAAAGCTGATGGGTTTTTGTTCTGTTTAGTACTCAAACTTCCGAGAGTTTGCCTTTTGCTTTATGACCGTTAATAAGATTTTCCATTTTTTTATGTACTATCTAACTTTACAATGAAAAAAATCAATCAATATATAATATTCATATCTGAATATATTGATAAAAGTTTTATTGAGCACTTTTTTTTTAGAATTGTATAACGTTTTTCAAATTTGATGGTCTTAAACCCAAAAAAAAAATTCAAACTTATCTTTTAACACATATATTGTTTGTTTAAAAAACTAGGTTTTGTATTTTGAATGCAACATTTTTCTTTTGTGTATTTATAAAAAATATGGATGCAAAATATCTTGAATGACTAAAAAGGTATATTTTCAATTCATTGATTTTATTTATAATCAAAATATTTTTTTAAGATAATACAAATTAACAATTTTTTATGAAAGTAGAGTTTGACAAAAAATAAATTTGAAAGAAAATATAATTTGATGGAAAAACTTATTTTTATGACTTTAACGGATAATGATGTTTTCTGTGAAATATAATTTTATACTTTTGTGGTTCTGGTGGGAAAACACTGATTTACGGTTTTAGTGAAAAATGCAGTTTGCGATTAAACGAGAAAACTCAATTTTGATGTTTTTGCGGGATACAGTTTTGATGAGAAAATTCGGTTTTACGGTTTTGGTGGGAAAATCTTGTTTTACAGTTTTGGCGGAGATATCTTGTTTTATAGTTTTGGCGAAAACATGATTTTACGGTTTTGGCAGAAAAACATGATTTTAGAGTTCTTACAGGAAAACTTGATTTTAAGATTTTGGCTGGAGAATCCAGTTTGGTGGTTTTGGTAAAAAAAGTTAATTTTGCGTTTGACAGTTTTAGTGGAAAAGATGATTTTACTGTTTTGGCGGGGAAGCTTGGTTTTATGGTTTTGGTGAGAAAAACTCGATTTTATGGTTTTTGTGAGAAAATCTGGTTTTATGGTTTTGGCGGGAAAACATGATTCTACGGTTTTCACGAGAAAATCTGATTTTATGGTTTTTATGGAAAACTTTATTTTTGCAGTTTTAGCAGAAAAATACTATTTATAGTTTTGGCAGAAACACTAGGTTTTACGATTTTGGCGAAAAAAATCCAAATTTGATGGTTTTTGCAGAAAATTCGATTTTGCGTTTTGTGGCAAAAAAACGTAGTTTTGTCATTCTGTCAGGAGAATGTAATTTTGTGGTTTTTATGGAAAATCAAATTTATGATTTTTTATAGAAATTGTGATTTTTTTAATTTTTATTTTAATGATTTTGGCAAAAAGAATAATAAATATAAGTTTAGTTATATTTTTTCTATCATATTAAGGGGTATTTTGATATTTTGGTTTTTGAGATGCAAATGTTACATCCAAATTCTTACTTTTTTAGCATCTCAAATATCAATATTTTTTAGTTATTTTTGATTTTGCATCTAGATGTAATATTTAGTTATTGATTTAAAAATATTCAAACAAACAATATTTAAGCATTTGCATCCTGATACAATATCTGGATGTAAAAACTAACATGATAAAATAGAACTTAATCTAGCTCTCAATAATCTTTTTCTCATGTACATCACTAAAATGATAAAAAAAAAAAAATGGAGCCAAAATTAATATCTATTATTAAAATTACACAAACCACGACTCATATCCATAACATTGGAAAAGACTATGAGACAAACAAAAAAAAAACTAAAAGAAAAGCACAAATGGTATTAGAAAATTAAAATAAAAGTTTAAATTCACATGTTAAAGGCAAATCTGACAATGCAATATGAACTTGACAATCTTTGCTATGTTGGTCAATGCAACATGAACTTGACAAGCTTTGCTATGTTGATCAATGATCAGTATGATCCAATGATCTTTATCTATTAATTATAATTAGGCTCGATTGGACCCATCATGATTAGCAAATCTGGTAATAAGTAGAGAATAATCAATATAAAAATAAAAATATGCTAAATATTTTATTATATAAAATTAGATGCGTCTAAATTAGTAATTTATATAATCGCATCATGTAGACTCGCTTCAAATTATAACACAATCTAGCAACCCTTTCACTTCAAATTATAACATATATCGTGATTAAAATTCAATGAAAAATAATTAAGTTAAAAAGGATATTTTAACTAACAAATATAAATTAAAGATATATTTCAATCTTATTGTATAAAGTTGAAAGCGTCAAAGTTAATAATTAATATGATCATGACATGAAGTAATTTAACCGATTAGATTTTGACATGTTTTGCGATTAATTTAAAAATAAAACTTAATTTTAAGAAATATACAGTAACTATTATTTTTTTAAAAGAAAAAATAAAATATGATAATATGATAATATGTAAAAGAAAAAAGAATAAATAATAATAAAAATATATATGTTTTAATTAAGAAAATGAATTGTTTTAAAAAAAGTAAACACTAATCCTAAAAAGGGAAACAAAATATTAATTCACATCTTTATAAATACATAAAGTCTGTTATAATTTTACAAGACTGATTAATTTTTAAAACTCGAATCAATAGATAAGATGAAAACTGATGAACCAATGAAAAGCAATCAGAATTGCAGAAACGGAATGAAGGAAAAAATCAATTTTACTCTGATACTATTTTACCAAATGAGATTTTCGATGAAAATTTGTTAGAAGAAATCAGATTTAAAAATAAAATAAAAATCAATACAGAATGAATGAGAAAACCATTTTCTGTTATAGAGGTTTTGCTCTTTATTTTAGCTTTTTATGTTTACTGTGATTTAATTTCGTTTTTTTAATTCTTTCATATTCAATTTCTTTTTAACAGATTAAGTAATATTTAATAATAAATCAGTGTATATGAAGATTACAATCTGTGTTAAAATAATAATTAATTCATCAATATTATAAGATAAATAAATATGTAAGTAGTAAAATCATTATAAACAAAAATAATTAATATTTGATTATAAAACTATCAAAATTTAGAAATATGTAATAAATTTTAAATTGAAAAGTTATTATTGTTTATGAATAGATTAATTTTCTTGAATTTATTTTTACAGGTTTTAAAATAACTGATTACAAAGATGAAAGATCTTCCACATATATTTATATAATATTTATTTTCCACTGTTTGATGAAAGATCTAAAAATTCTCTATGTTAATGCTGAAAATAACTATTGAAAAATTACAACATAATATTGTTTTAGCTATATATAAATATTTATGTTTTTTTGTCAACTATGTAATTATTATTGTAATATTTAGAAACTTTGAAAACAGTTTTAGTAATTAAAAAAAAATCATATAGACAAAAATTTGACTGTAAGAGTAAAACAACAAGAAATTACTTTGACTGAGTCAACTAAGAGTAAAACAAGAGGAAAATAGGTCGACTTAGTCGACTGACGTCACTCGATGCCTATATATCTCTCCGGATGTTTACTCTTTCTTCACTCTCTCTCTTTTTCTGTCAAGCGTGATTAGGACTTCCAACGTTTTGTTGTGTCTGGCTACGAAAAGTGCCGAAATTGATTAAGACCGCTGCAGATTTCATCAAATTTTGTTTGGATTCGAGTTGGGTTTGCGTTCGTTTTTACCGTTGAAACCCTAATTCCCGAGTCGCCAAGCGTGATTAGGCCAACAATGGTGAAAGGGACAAAGAGAAAGATTGAAATCAAGAAATGCGACACAAAGGAGCAACGATCGGTGGCTTTCTCTAAACGCCGTCAAACGCTCTTCTCCTCGAAAGCCGCCGATCTCTGCCTTCTCTCCAGTGCTAACATCACCGTCCTCGTAACCTCTCCGGCCGAAACTTCCGATGTTGTTTACTCCTCCGGCTACTCTTCCGCCTCCCAAATTGCCTATTGCTATCTTAACGGCGGCAAGCTTCCTCCTCCAAAGGTTAACCCCCAATCCAAGTTAGGGTTTGGGTGGGAAGACCCGAATCTTTACCATTCTTGTGACGAAGTGGGCGAATCAAGCGGATCTTCATCGCAATTTGTTTGCGATCAAAACCCTAACTCTTGGTCTCCATCGCCTGCACAATTTGCTTCTTCTTCTGATCAAACACAAACAGAGACACAGGAGAGAAAGGAGACCAAACCATCTTGTTCGTCTGCTCTGTACAAGAGGCGAGAGGCGACGCTGGTCAAGAAAGCGTACGAGCTCTCCACGCTATGTGGTATCGATGTCTGCATCATATGTTACGACCGTGAAGGGGAACTCATCAAGACATGGCCCAAGGCAGAGCCGTGTCAACGTAATTTGATGCTGATGCTGTAGGCGATAAGAAAAAAATTTAATCATACAAAAAAAATTAATTCATACAAAAATAAAAATATATAATAATAAAAATTAATTAAAAAATATACTACAATAAATATTATAGTATAATAATTATAAAAAAAAACTAAATACGATAATAGTTTAAAACGTGATTCTTCTTCTATTCTTTTCCACAAAATCATTAACGAATTTTTCAAAATTAATTTTCTAACCAACTCTCTTTCAATTGATAAAATAGCCAAATCACTCAATCTTTTTTTTGACATACTCGAGCGAAGATATGATTTTATCAATTTCAACTTTGAAAAACTAATTTTAGCAGATGCAATAGAGACTGGAATCGTCAATAATATTCGATAATCGATCTATGAGTTGGTGGCATCTATAAATTTAGAATGTAATATTACGGATGTTAAAAATGATTAAGAACTAAATAAAAACAAAGAAGTAAAATTGTTTAAACTCACTCTACCAATGGATTGATGCTGTTTGATAAACTGGGTCTTTGATTTTTCTTTGAATGAAGTATAAAAACGACACCAAAGAAAAAAAAAAGTCACGAACTCTAACCTAATCTCTTTAATTGTTTTTAGTTTCTTAGTTTTTTTCTATTTTTAATAATTATTTTATCATAATTGTTTTGTGTTTATAGATAAATGTAATGTTTTGGGTTTGACCTTATCTGTTTGGTCTTAACCATACTTATAAACAATAATTATAGTTTTATTAAAAAATTTTTTGAAATGGGGCCGTAAGCTAAAGTTTCAAAACCTAAAAGGTAGGCACGGCCCTGACCCGAGGATACAGCCAAGGTCAGGGACATGGCCGAGCGATTCAGCAGATTAAGCGACAAGGAAAAGAAGAAGAAAAGTGCCGACCTTTCTCGGTTCCTAAATAAGAAGGCATCGTCGGAAAACAACAAGAAAGTGTCGGAGGCTTCTTTGGAAAGTCGTGTAGGGATGTTCAAAGAAGAGAAGTTTGTTGAGGATCAAACGAATGTGGTTTCAACAATGATCAATGTCGGTGGGTATGAGGATCAGAGCTTTTGGGATAATCTCTATAAAGAAGATGCGTTTGGACTTAATCACGGCTTCTTTCTAGACAACAACAACTTTCAAGCCAACACCACCACCGACGATTACATGATCGATGGTACGTTCACTCAATTGCCCAACTCTGCTCCTCCAAGCTTTGAGCAACTTTCGATTCCGCACTATAATCAAGATTGTGGTAATGATTCTTACATGGATTTATTGTTATTACCTGCGGAGGAAGAATTGAGAAGCTGGATCGATGATGATCTCTTAGATACTTTGCTGCAATAACTGATTGATCTTTGACTGTGTTTTATCTTCTTTGTGTTGTTTGCTCGTATAAACTTCTAATTTTGTAATTGCCATTTTTCAACTAAATGTTAAATATGAGACGTTCTAAACATTCTTAGCTCTATTTTTTTCTCTTTTGTTTTTTTTTTCTTCCATATTTCTTATTGAGTGAAAAGTTATGACAATGAGGAGAAAAATATGTTTGTCTACTTCATGACAATAAAATGAAGAGACAACTATGTGTCAAAGTGTTTCTTGTCTCTAATCGGTAATTTTGGGTAGAAAACAATGGTTTCAGGTTGAGATGATTACTAGATTGAGAGACTTAGCGCTTCTTAATTTATAGATAAACATTCATAGAAGAATGGTAATGGATTCATTAGCTTTTAATTTAGTAGTTAACGAGGCCTAATATATATATGCAGATCAGATGTTCGACTAAATGGCTGAAGGAGTCTTATCTGCAATGTGGTTTTGTTATTTTTAGTCAGCCTTTTTTTGTGGCTTTTATAAACCCAAAAATATGAAATTTTAGGAAGTATTGCATTCTAAAGACAATTGTCTTTTATCTTTTCGATTTCAGGAAATTTGAGATGATGCTGAAACGAAGAAAATCTGCTCAACTTGTGTCAGGGGATGCAGGAAGTCTCTAATATGCAAGGTAATACCTATTGTGACTTTTAAGAGGTTTTCTCGAATTCCTTTCATATGGACAGTTCATGGGATGTTCTTCTAATATTTGATCTCCTTAAATTTTTTTTCTCATGCCAATAACTGTTGCAAGTAACTTCTTTAACTGCAGATTTGCTCCCCAATAGTTTCTTAATTTTTCTGTCAGCTTTGATTAGTTTATTCACTACTCTAATTGGATACATTTTCCTTCTGTGACTCTAAGAGGTTTTCTCGTCATGTGGACAGTTCATGGTATTTTCTCGTCTAAGAGGTTTTCTGTCAGCTTGTGTTAATGCTAATGAAACCTTCTCATTTTACTGAGCATCATTTTTAACTCAATTTCAAGACTTGACAAAATCAACTTTTTCTGACAATTTGACGCAAGACTTGTCAAAGTAAAGACAATTTGAGGATTTTTTTTTTACATATATATAAATAGCTGCATGAGCCACAAACATAAAAAAAAAAAAACCTCACTTCCACACAAACACAAAAAGAAAAAAAAATTGACGCAAGACTTGCCAAAGCCAAGACAAAATGAAATTTTATTTTATTTTTATAAATATCTGCATGAGCCATAATCATTAAATCTATCATTTCGACACAAACACAAAAGTAAGAAAAACAAAAAGAGTGGGGTAATGAAGATTTCATGCCAATCTTATTGTACGTACGAAAGATTATACATAAATATGTACGTAGAAAGTAAGTATCAATATGAGGATAATCCAATATTGCAATGCACTTGACCCATAAACGAAAACATGCGTGGAGATCGAATACTTTTCACCAATAGTACTACCAAAACATCGAGACTCATAACTCATAAGTGACACAACTAAGACCTAAGTCGTCGATGGCTATTACCTTTTAACTCTCTCGCTAAACTGTCCACATATTTATTTTTCTCTTTGTCTGTTAGCTTTTCTACACCATATCTTTAGATAAAAAAATAATAAAAAATAAATATAGTTATAAAACACAATAAAATATAAACAATTATATAATAATTAATAAGTTTCTCAAAAGTTGAGATATCACCAATTTATTATCATATTATTAAAACTTATTTCTATTAAATATAATAATATTATGTATAATTTAAAATTTGTTGAGACTTCCTTAGAACATTAGTAATGGAAAAATCTTGGTGGGATTTTTAAGTGAAGAAAAAAAAAAATTTATGTGGCATCAACTTTTTTAAGAATTGTTTTTTCTATAAAAATCTTAAGAATTGGTTTTTCAAATTTTATCTCTGATTTAATAATTAAATATATTTAAAAACCCCAACATGGGGTTGACCAATACTGATGCTCGGAACCATGTATGCAAAATGCTCTTACATTTCTTTTATTGCCAATTTGTGCCATGTCCCTAGTCTATATATATAAGATAGATGCATAAACATGAGTAATGAGTGACACGCAAACTAAGAGGAAATATTATTAAGATGACATCTTCTATGGTCTATTCCATGCTTCTCTTTCTACTTCTTCTTCTTGTGTTTCCGCATATCCAAAAAGCCATTGGTGCAGAAGAGACTTACCATCCTAATCAAAGGCGCACTCTTCTTCCAACACGTAGTCTGCCTCATCCTTCGAATTCGCCCAGGTCGCGTGGCTTAAGGCTTCCGTCATTTTTTTCGTCCGGTTCGCATCGCTTTAGGCCGCTTCCGCCATTTCATTCTCATCCTACGCTTCCGACATGTCCAAAAAACTTCCCGAGATGTAAGATGCCAGATAGAAAATCTCCTCCGCCGCCTCACAGGTCTTTCAAAGGCACACACGGACCTGCTCATTGAAAGGCACTTTAGCTTCGAATGCGTCTTTCTCTCCTTGTGTGTGTGCATGTTTCTTCCGTTGTGGTTTTGTTTGTGGTTTCTATCCTTGTTTATCCATATGCATGTGTTTGTCATATTTTACAGTTTTATTGTACCACGCCGCTAAAATAAATAAAACTTGTATTTCCTTTTCTGTTCAAGACCGCCTCCTTACTTACGTTGGACTTGGTACTAGAAATCGATCTCAGACATAGACTTAGTATATATTTAAAAGCTCGTGTGTTAAAGCCGCAAAACAGACTTTTAAACCTTTAAAAGCTAAAATCTACTGTACGTTCAATTAAACCTAGATGAAATTAATACATAATGATATCATTAACCACTTCTTTCCCAAAGGAAACTGATCTCACTTTTTTTGTCATTATACTAACCAATAAATAGTGACCATTGATTCATCTAATAAATAATGAGGAGACTGGATCATACCTCCATTTTCGTTTTGTTTCATTTGCTAATTTTTGTAAATAGACGAAGCAGACTCTCTTGTAAAAGACTTAGAAACAATGTCTTGGAGAAAACTCAAGCATCGCATGAAACTCAAGTCTATAATGGATTCATTTAAAAAAAAAAAAATGGTGTAACAGGTTCTCCATGTTTTGTAATCTTTTGCTTCTCTTTTTAAAATAATCTTGATTAAATAACATAAGGTTTTAAATAGTTAATGATTTTACATAAATTTCATTTCATGTTTAATAACATAAGATTTGGTAAAACATTAGAAATAATTAAAGATTACAAAATAACCACAAAATCTTTAAAAAATTTTAATTTGCCATTTTTTTCGTCCGGTTCTCATCGCCTTAGGCGGTTTCCGCCATTTCATTCTCATCCTACGCTTCCGACATGTCCAAAAAACTTCCCGAGATATAAGATGCCAGATAGAAAATCTCCTCCGCCGCCTCACAGGTCTTTCAAAGGCACACACGGACCTGCTCATTGAAAAGCACTTTAGCTTCGAATGCGTCTTTCTCTCCATGTGTGTGTGCATGTTTCTTCCGTTGTGGTTTTGTTTGTGGTTTCTATCCTTGTTTATCCTTATGCTTGTGTTTGTCATATTTTACAGTTTTATTGTACCACGCCGCTAAAATAAATAAAACTTGTATTTCCTTTTCTGTTCAAGACCGCCTCCTTACTTACGTTGGATCGTCCAAACATTTCTCAACACTTGGTACTAGAAATCGATCCCAGACATAGACTTAGTATATATTTAAAAGCTCTTGTGTTAAAGTCGCAAAGCAGACTTTTAAACCTTTAAAAGCTAAAATCTACTGTACGTTCAATTAAACCTAGATGAAATTAATACATAATGATATCATTAACCACTTCTTTCCCAAAGGAAACTGATCTCACTTTTTTTTGTCATTATACTAACTAATAAATAGTGACCATTGATTCATCTAATAAATAATGAGGAGACTGGATCATACCTCTATTTTCGTTTTGTTTCATTTGCTAATTTTTGTAAATAGACGAAGCAGACCCTCTTGTAAAAGACTTAGAAACAATGTCTTGGAGAAAACTCAAGCATCGCATGAAACTCAAGTCTATAATGGATTCATTTAAAAAAAAATGGTGTAACAGGTTCTCCATGTTTTGTAATCTTTTGCTTCTCTTTTAAAAAAAATCTTGATTAAATAACATAAGGTTTTAAATAGTTAATGATTTTACATAAATTTCATTTCATGTTTAATAACATAAGATTTGGTAAAACATTAAAAATAATTAAAGATTATAAAAATAACCACAAAATCTTTAAAAAAATTTAATTTGCCATTTTTTTTGTCCGGTTCCCATCGCTTTAGGCGGCTTCCGCCATTTCATTCTCATCCTACGCTTCCGACATGTCCAAAAAACTTCCCGAGATGTAAGATGCCAGATAGAAAATCTCCTCCGCCGCCTCACAGGTCTTTCAAAGGCACACACGGACCTGCTCATTGAAAGGCACTTTAGCTTCGAATGCGTCTTTCTCTCCTTGTGTGTGTGCATGTTTCTTCCGTTGTGGTTTTGTTTGTGGTTTCTATCCTTGTTTATCCATATGCATGTGTTTGTTATATTTTACAGTTTTATTGTACCACGCGCTAAAATAAATAAAACTTTTATTTCCTTTTCTGTTCAAGACCGCCTCCTTACTTACGTTGGATCGTCCAAACATTTTTCAACACTTGGTACTAGAAATCGATCCCAGACATAGACTTAGTATATATTTAAAAGCTCTTGTGTTAAAGCCGCAAAGCAGACTTTTAAACCTTTAAAAGCTAAAATCTACTGTACGTTCAATTAAACCTAGATGAAATTAATACATAATGATATCATTAACCACTTCTTTCCCAAAGGAAACTGATCTCACTTTTTTTTGTCATTATACTAACCAATAAATAGTGACCATTGATTCATCTAATAAATAATGAGGAGACTGGATCATACCTCCATTTTCGTTTTGTTTCATTTGCTAATTTTTGTAAATAGACGAAGCAGACCCTCTTGTAAA